CACTCTACCCTCCCCCATCTGGCCCCCCCCCCCCCCCCCCCCGCTTTAGGTTCCCTTACCCTGCTTACTCTTGTGGGGGAGGTGGAGTCATGAACACGATACCAGATGCTGTCACTGGGAGCCATGACCTTTGGGTCTCTGGGCCCTTCTTGGCTGCTGTTGGGCAGCAGGTACTCAGCTAAGTGCAGGCAGCCCTTGGAGGAAGGCAGGGCTAGGGGAGCCTCAGGCAGGAGCCTCCAAGGAACAGAGCCTGGCCACTGGCTAGGGGAAGGCTGCCTCTTTAGGCAGACTGCAGTCTGGGCAGTAAGGGAGAACACTGCACATGCCTCAGGTGGCCACTTCTTAGGCACCGAGGCTTCTGGGAGGAGGTTACACCTTGGCATGCTGACAGCAGGGGGGTGAGGTAGATGTGGTAGATGTGATTCCTTTCTCACTGGCCTCCAATGCCCTGTGGTTGGGGCTGGGCACCTGCTTCTTGTGGAGGGTGGGGGGGGGCTGCTGCGGGGCTTCAGGAGCCGAGGGTAGAGTGTAGCAAGTTGCTGGTTGCTGGGGTTCGAAGCTCCTCTGGGAGATGTTGGCTAGGCTGGATGCACGCCAAGCCCAGAGCTCTGGGAACCCCAGGGGAAGCACGGCCACACCAGCTCCATGTCCTTCTGCTGAGGCTGTGCCTTAATCACCCTCACTTTTGCATCCTCCCAATTGTGCTTCTAGCCCGTCACAGGCAAGATCCCAGTCCGTCACAGGCAGGATCCCAGTAGGCTTTCCCTGTTTCTACCCAGCACAGAGTGGGCTGGGTCCAAGACCAGCAGGACTGGGAAATCCCTCCCAGCACTTGTCCTCCAGCACCAAAACTGGTCTGTTTAGGGCAAGCTCTGGAATGGTGATTCAGAGTGGAGTATGTATTTTTACTTTTCTCAGTGGTGGTGTGTGTCTAGGAGTCGGTTTCTCTGCCCACCTGGGCTGAGGGCTTGGAGAGTACTGGCACCTTCTCTCCAACAAGGTGTAGGTAGTCCTCTTGGAACCTAGGGACTGCCATTTTGGACACTGCCACTTGTATACGTGTTCCTTTGGAGACCAGCAGTTGAGTTGGCTGTGGCTCAGGGATGGAGTGAGCCACTTGCCCAGGTGTCTGGGAGGTAGGCTGCCCTTGGGCCTAAGGCAGCAAGTATTGGGGAGGGGGGACTGCAGGCACCCCATCTTGGGTGCACAGCTTCCTCTCCTGCTGGGATAGGTGAGTGGGTGGGGGTCAGGGGAGCCTCCTGCGCCTGGGTGCCCTGGCCCTGTGAGCATGCGTGGGCAGGAATTCTGTGTCTATTAAAAGGCAGAGGCTGCCTTGTGGTTGGAGTGTTGCCAGAGGCTATAAATAGCTGAGTGTGTGCAGAAGCAGAGCACCAGGGAGGAGGGAGGAAGGGGGAGGCCCTGGGTTTCGAGCTGGCAACAGAGCTTGGGCACGGTATGGGAAAGGCATGGTCTCCCAGTCTCCCTAGGTCCTCCATGAGCTCTGAGTGCAGAGCTTTTGGAGGCATTGGTATGCACAATCCCTGCTTGGTGGGCTGGGAGCCCTCCTGGGGGCTTGTATGGTGAAGGACTGTTATAGGCAGCAGGGAGGGGCATGGCTCCTGATGTAACAGCTAATGTGCCAGGCATGGTCATAACCACTCTTAAAACACATTCACTGATTTGGCTCTGGAACAGCCCGAGGAATTAGGTGCTCTTACCATCCCCTTTTCACACACAAGGAAACAGGCACAGAGTGGGTTGGTAATTTACCCAGGGTTGCACCACCAGGGAGTGTTAGAGACAGGATTTGAACAAGTCTGGCCAGCTCAAGGCTGCCTTACTCTCGGTTGTCTGTAGGAGGATTTGATCAGATAGGGGGTCCAGTTACATCTCAAGCCCTTGGGTCTTACCTTAGAACCTTGGAATTTGGTGTTCCTAGCCATGTTCACTTAGGTCCTGCCCATGGTAGTGGCCAGAGGGCTTTTGCTTGGTGAGTGGCATGAGGAGAGGAGCTGGGCCAGCCTTTTGCCACTGTTGATGTTGGGACTCCTCACCTTGCACAGGGGACTTTTTGCTTGTTGTCTGCATGGAAATGAGACCTCCCTTGAGGACCCTCCATCTTAGGCTGCAAGACCATGCCTTGAGGCCATGCCTCCTGCCATTCCTTCCTTCCAAATCCTGCCCTAGCCAAGTGATAACCATGTTCTCTTGCCTGTCCATTGGTCCTCCCGTCCATCTACCTGTCATGTGTCTGGAACTGGTTCTAGCACTGAAGATAGTCAAGGCTTCTGCCTTTATTAGCTTTGCAGCTTATGGGGGCAAGGCTGACATTTAAAAAGTAATCATTGAGTACATTTATAATGTTTTATTTCTCAATAGGAGTATTCCCTACATTTTTTCTTGGAGGTTGTTTTTGGTTAACATTATTTTTATACTTTTTTTTTAAAGTTTCTTTTCTTTAAATTTTTATTTATTTATGATAGTCACACACACACAGAGAGAGGGACAGAGACACAGGCAGAGGGAGAAGCAGGCTCCATGCACCGAGAGCCCGACGTGGGACTCGATCCCGGGTCTCCAGGATCGCACCCTGGGCCAAAGGCAGGCGCCAAACCGCTGCGCCACCCAGAGATCCCCTATTTTTATACTTTTTGAATGTCTGAAATATTTCTTTAAAAATACTAAGCAGCTTGAGGTGGTAAATTATTATTTTTTAAATTAAATTTTAAGATTTTATTTATTTATTCATGAGAGACAGAGACAGAGAGAGAGAGAGAGAGAGAGAGAGGCAGAGACACAGGCAGAGGGAGAAGCAGGGAGCCTGACATGGGACTTGATCCCAGGTTTCCAGGATCAGGCCTGGAGCTGAAGGTGGCCCTAAACCGCTGAGCCACCTGGGCTGCCCGAGGTGGTAAATTAGATGATGGATGAAACACAAGGATCTGTGGAAATAGATGTTTGCCTAGTCTCTGGAGAGAAGAGCCGGCATTCCAAGGAGAAAGTGGGGAGCATCATGCAACCAGAGGTAGTAACTTGTGCCAAACCCAGAAATGGAGCATATTCAAGGGCCTGGCAATGTGCTGTGACGGCAGTGGGCGAAGCAAGGTTGAGGAGTAGGCAGCACCCATATCTGCAGCTCACCCCATCCCTTCAGGTTTTCCCCTTAAACTGTAAGCCTTACGCTTGACAATGGGCCTGGCTGGGGGAAGCCATTGTGCACCCTTGCATGAGCCCTTTTTGTAGACCCCGGGGCCCTTGCTGTGGACCTGGCTGGGTCCCAGCTGCCTGGGGCATTGGGAGGCCACTCTTTTTTCTTCTTACCAGTATTCTTGGATGCAGGGCCATGGCTAGACCCTGGCATTGATAGGATGACATTCTGAACCCTTGGTCCTCCTCATTGGAGCTTTGAGATGTGCTGCTTGCCCCTGGCCTGTAGAGGAGCCTCTTATCCCTGCAGGGAGGTACAGAAGGGGTGGGATGACTAAAGAATGATCTGCAATGGGGGGCCCTTCCCTCCTGACAGCCAGTCCTCATCCTTCTCCCTGAGCATACCGTGGCATATCAAGTTCTTCACTCGCGATGGCCACTGTGGTTGTGGAGTGAAGGACGATGGAGGCTTTGGTTTGTTAGGATGCAGGTCATTTAGTTAGCTCTTCCCTGGGTTGGTGTGGAGTCTTCTCTCCTGGCTGTTCCAAGCCAGCCTTTCAGGCTGACAGTGAAGAGGGTTCCTATGTGCTGGTGGGCTGGCTGACTGACCTTCCATGGGGGTGACTCTGACCATCCCTTCCTTCCTCCTTCCTGGGATACGAATACCAGCTGGGGGTGGCATCAGGTCACTTGTCCACAGTAGGCCCAAGAAGAGTGGAGAGGCTTGGTCTAGTTTCCTTTTGAGTGTCAGTGTGGTTTTTGACAGCGAGGTTGATCATGTGTGCCTGTAAAGGGGCCATGGCAGGACACTCACAAACGGCGTTCTGGAGAGCTCTTCAGTCCAGGTGTCAGGGTGCAGGAGTACCTGTTTCCTGGGAACCTCCTTTGGCATCTCCTTCCTCCTTCTCATTACAGGGCTTTGGAGGGTGCCCTCATTAAGGGCAGTGGGGCAGATGGGAGGGCTGGGACAGGTTGCCTGGGAGGGGTTGGTGAGAAAGGTAGATTTGGTGAACGGTTGAAGGAAAGAAGTATTTGAAGGGGCAGTTGGGGGTCAAAGTGTTTGGCCACCAGGATGGCACTCATGCAGGGGTTGGAAAGAGGGCACAGGAATGGTGGGGAGTATCTTCAGGGGCCAAGCCCAGCTGGGGGGATTATCTGTTATCACCGCTTATTACTAGCCAGCCATCCTCCTGCTTGGGGCACATATTCCCCCATGGTGACTCTGGGAGCCTTATCCTGATCATGCTGGCCTGATTCTTAGGACCTTCTTCTGCCCTGCTGAGCACCAGGTAGTGTTGCTGGGTGCAGGAAGGACACTGGCCTGGAGGGTCCTTACATCCCATTCAGTCTGGATGGGAGGTGGGGACACACCAGCAGTATGTGTCTCCCTCTCCCTGGGGTGAGGCAGACAGCAGCAGCAGGAAATTGTCTCTTGGAGTGTCTCCAGACATGGTCCCCTGAGGTCTGCAGTCATAGTCATCTGAGATTCTGTGGGATGGAGAGGGCTGGACGTGGAGGGTGATAGTGGTTAAAAATATAGTTTCTGCCTCCATTTCAATTGTCCAGTATGGGCTGGACCCAGAATATGTGTTTTTAGCAACCCCCCCCCCAACACACAGTGATTCTACTGTACCCTGGGGTTTTGACGCTCCTCTGTTTCTGCTGCTGCGAGGAAACAGTCCCTGCCCCCACTCAGGACCCTCAGGCATCAGTGGGGCCCCTTTCTGTGTGTGTGGCCACCAGCCTGACTGTCGGACACCCACCCACCAGCCAGCCTCCCTTAAGGTGGTAGGGGCCCCAAGATAGGTGCAGAGGTATGTGGGATGCTCAGTCCTCTCACCTCCCGGGCTCAGGTTCCGGGCGTGGGGAGGCCGAGACTCGGGAGTGCATTTACTACAACGCCAACTGGGAGCTGGAGCGCACCAACCAGAGTGGCCTGGAACGCTGCGAGGGTGAGCAAGACAAGCGGCTGCACTGCTACGCCTCCTGGCGCAACAGCTCTGGCACCATCGAGCTGGTCAAGAAGGGCTGCTGGCTGGACGACTTCAACTGCTACGACAGGTGTGTTAGAGCCCGCCCTCCCCTCCTCCTCACCCCCCAGTCCGGCTGGAGGCCTGCCTCTTGCTGCAGTGCCCTCTGGGCCTCAGGATATGAAAGCAAGCCTGGCATTTAAGGGTAGGGGGAGATAAGGGCCTCTGTAGACATCCTGGTCGAGTAGGGATGGTGCCAGGGTCCTAGCTTTCCTGCCCCTGTGTGTCCCCTGCCCCAGTCCAAAGGAGGGCTCTTTGTGTGGACCCTTGGCTGTCCCTGCCCAACTTTGGGTCCCACTTCAGGGGAGGTGGACTCACAGTGTCCCCTGATGGTTACCCATGAACTTCTCTGTCAATGGGGAGGGTTGGCTGGGCAGGCCCCAGAGAGGCTCTCATCCCTCAGCTGAGGGGTATGTGGGAAACTGTGTGCCTCCAGGCAGGAGTGTGTGGCCACCGAGGAGAACCCCCAGGTGTACTTCTGCTGCTGTGAAGGCAACTTTTGCAACGAGCGCTTCACCCACTTGCCGGAGGCTGGGGGCCCGGAAGGTGAGGGCTGCGGGAGGGCAGGCTGGGGCCCTCTTTGGCCTTGGAGTGCTCATCACTGCTCCTGAGTTGGGTGGGCAGTGGCTGCAGGGCTCTCTGGTCTGGCCCCTGAGGTGTGTGGGTGGGCGGGCTGTATGACACAGGGCTCCATGTGTCCCCCAGTCACGTACGAGCCACCCCCGACAGCCCCCACCCTGCTCACGGTGCTGGCCTACTCGCTGCTGCCCATCGGGGGCCTCTCCCTCATCGTCCTGCTGGCCTTCTGGATGTACCGGCATCGCAAGCCTCCCTACGGCCATGTGGACATCCACGAGGTGAGACAGGGCTGGCACAGGGCAGGGGCAGAGGTGGGGTGGCTGGACCAGACCCTCTTAAGTCCTCCATGTACCCCAGGACCCTGGACCTCCTCCTCCGTCCCCTCTGGTGGGCCTGAAGCCTCTGCAACTGCTGGAGATTAAGGCTCGGGGGCGCTTTGGCTGTGTCTGGAAGGCACAGCTCATGAATGACTTTGTGGCTGTCAAGATCTTCCCACTCCAGGTGAGTGTGTGAGGGCCTTCCAGGTCATCCTCTGTTGTAGCTTGAGCTGTCCTCCCCACAGTGCAGTCCGGGCCTGTGCAGGTGGGATGAGAGAGAGGCAGGCCCCACTGAAATTTTCTTGTAGGGCTAGGGTAGGGCTTTGGTTTCCAGGGGTTTGTTTCTGATGTCGGTTCTGCAGAGGCCTTGAGAAACCAGGCTACTCCAGCAGTTGCCCAGAACACTTGGCAGAGCCAGAGCTGGCTCTGTGTCTCATTCGGTGGGTGACGCTGGGCCACTCACTTCCCTCCCTGGACTTAAGTGGCCTTGTTTGTAAATCAGGTGCTAGTCCTAAGTGATATTTGGGATCGCCGTTGGCCTGTGTTCCAGGGCCAGCTCAGTCCTGGCTGTCTGCCTGCCCCCCTTACAGAGATGAGGCTGGGCAGGTCGGGAGGAGGGGTGGTACGGATGGCATGGGATGGCGGTTCTGCTACAGGGTGGGTGGCAGCAGTGGCATTGAGCTGCATCCCTGCCTTAGGACAAGCAGTCGTGGCAGAGTGAGCGGGAGATCTTCAGCACGCCTGGCATGAAGCATGAGAACCTGCTGCAGTTCATTGCTGCTGAGAAGCGAGGCTCCAACCTTGAGGTGGAGCTCTGGCTCATCACGGCCTTCCATGACAAGGTGAGTCATGCTTGTGGACAGGGACTCCTCAGACAAGGTGGCCTTCCACCATAAGGTGACCCTTCCTGAGTGTGGACAAGAGTGTCCACGACGAGAACTGTGGCATCAATTCTTATGAATGAGCACAGAGACTTCATGACAAACACCTTCTGATGCCCCCTCCCCCAGCCCCTCCTGGCCTTCCGTACCTTCCGTATCAATACCAGTCTCCCGGGAGAGGGGCCTGCTGTTGGTTCACTGAGCCCAGAATCCTGTGCCCAAGTTCTGTGCTGTCTCCTACAGGGCTCCCTCACGGATTACCTCAAGGGGAACATCATCACGTGGAATGAACTGTGTCATGTGGCAGAGACAATGTCAAGAGGCCTCTCATACCTTCATGAGGATGTGCCGTGGTGCCGTGGTGAGGGCCACAAGCCGTCTATTGCCCACAGGTACCTAGGTTAGCACTTGGTGTGGGGCTGCAGAGAGGGCTGGAGAGTGAGAGCAGGGCTTGGGGTGGGCTGGGGAGGGGTCTCTGCTTCGTAAAGATGCTTGGCAGCTTGTAGTGGGCCCAGCTGGCCCATCCCCTCCCTTCACTTGTGTACTGGGCCTGGTATGGCCTTGAAAGCTGGTTTCCTCATGCCCTCCAGTGGCCGCATGAGGAAGTGCTGACTTCATTACTTTGGCTGGAAGGTTGGTTCAGCTGTTCTCAAACTTTTTGGTTAGGATCTCTTTACGTTCTTTTTATTTTTTTTTCCTTTTTTTAGAGAGAGAGTGTGCACATCTGTGCATAGTGGGGTGGGGGGCAGAGGGAAAAGGAGAGAGAGAATCTTAAGTAGGTTCCATGCCCAGCTTGGAGCCTACATGGGGCTTGATCTCATGACCCTGAGAGCATGACCAGAGTGGAAATCAAGTCAGATGCTTAACCAGCTGAGCCACCCAGGCGCCCCAGGATCTCTTTACATTCTTAAAAAGAACTTCCGTGCTTATAGGTTACGTCTACTGATATTTGCTGTTTAGTGTTAGAGTGATGATGTCACACGTATGTAGCCTCTGATGTCACACTCTTCTCTTGAGAGAGTGAATTTACAAAAAGACAAATAATGGATCATGAATGAAAATAATTTTGATCTTGCGGTTCCCCTGAAACAGTGTCAGGGACTCTGGGGTTCTGGGGCTACACCTTGAGACCACTATATTAACTGGTCATTGTAGTCCTCACTAAACACAGGCACTGTTCTGAAGGCATAGAAACACCAGGCTGTGTCAGTCTTGTCACCTGAGAGAGAGGTCTTAGACACTTGTCGTCTGTGAGACAGGTGGTGTGTTCCCGGCCTCGTGGCATAGAGGAAGGAATAGTAGTGCATGGAAGTTGAGTATTTTGTCATCATACTGAGTTTAGTGTGGTTTTGTGCCTACAAGGGAGGGGAATGGGCCGTGGACTCCAGGATTCAAAGCTCGAGGGCCCCTTGTGGTAATATAATCAATGACACTTAAAGGTTGACGGTATGAAGTTGCGGTTTTTGTAGGTCATAAATGATTGAATGTTGACTCTTCTGTATGGTTCACCCTAACAGTAGTGCACAGGACGTGTGCCGGATGGCCCCAAGCACGTGTGCTTACTACTCGCTGAGCTTAATCCTCACAGCGAGACTGACACAGACAATGGGGAGATAGAGGACCAAACATATCTCTTCTATGAGAGGCGGAGCTGAACGTACCTGCCAGTACCCTGCTCTCCCCTGGCGCCAGCCCCGCAGGGGCCTGCACGGAGACCTGGGCAAGTTCATTAAACTTGTCACTCATGTCCCGGGCAGTGTACATTTTTCCCAGAAGATTCAATCCCGGGTCAGTATGCCTGACTTCGCCCCCTCCAAGAATGCAGAGGCTGGCCTTTTTTTTTTTTTTTTTTTTTGAGGCTGGCGTTTTATACTGAAGGGATTGGAATGGGGTCCGGCCAGCCACTGTGGTGGGTGTGGCTTTGACAGCAGTGGTAGAGGTGCGGTGAGAGATTCTCATATCGAGAGGGGTGAAGGGTGGTGGGAGGGTGTTCTAAAGCTGCCTATCTGCTCTGGGATAGACCGTGCTCCCCAGAGAGCATTGGGTAGCCTGGTCTGGGGTCTCTGGGGGCTGGGAGACCTGGGCTCCAGGATCTTGGCGGTCAGGGTGGGAGGCCAGGAGCAAGGACCAGGGTGTTCACCTTCCTCTTGGTCCACTTGTCTCCACAGGGACTTCAAAAGCAAGAATGTATTGCTCAAGAGTGACCTCACAGCCGTGCTGGCTGACTTTGGTCTGGCTGTTCGGTTTGAGCCAGGGAAACCTCCGGGGGACACTCACGGGCAGGTACTGAGCCTCCAGGGGTGCAGGGGGGTGCCAGCATGGAGGTGCATGCTGCCCTTTTGGTGCCCGGCTGGCAAGGGTCACTGTGAGCTTGGAGCTGTCTGAAAACTCCAGGAATAACACTGGTCTTCGCGATGGGTCACGCAGGGCCTGGAGGGCATGGAGCCTCGAAGTCTAGTCGGTCAGACAGACACAGCTTCCCTATTGGGGTTGGTGCTCGCCCTTGTAGGCTCTATGTTTCTTTCTTTTAGTGAAGTTGTTAAACAATGTAAAATAGAAGGAACTATACTAAGAAACCCAAGCCCGAGAAAACGTAACTGAAACTTAAACCTGAGGAAACCGTCCTAAGACAATTGCTGTAAATATTTTTAAGTATTCTTCAGGCCCTCTGTTTCTGATCTTCATCTTAGTAAAACATGCCATCTGGGTAGCCCCTTGTGGTGCTGATGGAGCAAACAGGCAGCAGTTCCAGTTTAGATGACTGTGGTCTTAAGTGTGTGATATTTTTAAATTATCCTTGAGGCATAACATGTACACCATGACCTCTTGTGACCTCCCGTGAACATGGTGAATCAAGGGTTGTCATCCCTGGTCGTGGCCTCTGATGCTGCCGTCCTGGCCCTTTCTGGTACACTCAGGAGGTGGCTCTTGTGTCCAGCAGTGAGTACATTTGTGCATGCCTCCCCTGTCCTCATATAGGTGGGCACGCGGCGGTACATGGCTCCTGAGGTGCTTGAGGGAGCCATCAACTTCCAGAGAGATGCCTTCCTGCGCATTGATATGTACGCCATGGGGCTGGTGCTGTGGGAGCTTGTGTCCCGCTGCAAGGCTGCAGATGGTGAGTGGGAATGGAGCCCCGAGCATCCAGGGTGTGGGTTGAAGAACAGTGAGCCCTTGTGGTTACCCTGCTGGGCTCGCTGTCACCCACAGGACCCGTGGATGAGTACATGCTGCCTTTTGAGGAAGAGATTGGCCAGCACCCATCACTGGAGGAGCTGCAAGAGGTGGTTGTGCACAAGAAGATGCGGCCTACCATTAAGGATCACTGGCTGAAGCACCCGGTGAGGGGCCTGGGTGGCAGGTGACTGCTGGGGAGCAGAGAGGGGAGGCCCTTGCTGTGTGACAAAGACTGGAGATCAAGGGGGTGTGGACAGAGAGAGAGAGGATGCCTCAGGCAGCAGGATAGTCTCCTCATCTCCTCCCTGCTCAGAGGCCTCCCTTGTACCAGGAAAGGGTCTGGGGAGGTTCCAGTCTCGGCAGGGAGGTGGCTCTGGGTTTGGGCCCAGAACTGATGGGGCCTGACAGTCAGTTCATCAGGGCCCTGTTGCCCCTATGTGGAGGGGAACCCATTGGGTCTGGGCCTGACATGTTTGAATCCTGGATCTGCCAGTTAGTAGGTGGGTGGCTTCTAGCAGATTGTTTTATTTCTTTGAGCCTTTGTCTTCTCAGGGTAACACTAGATATAACTGGTCATTGTAAATTGCTTGGCAGGATACCTGTCATATAAATGTTTAGTATGGATTAGCCCTGATTAAATATTCTCTCTTCTCTGCCTTCATTATTTTTCCGGGACTAAGCCACATGGCATCTTGGCTCCTCCAGTCTGGGGAGATTGTATAAAGACCCTAGCCATATAAACTGTTCCCTATCTTGGAAGGACACTTGCCTTCAGCTCTGTTGAGCTGCTCCCCCTGGTCACCTCTGGGTTCATTCAGTCACAGGACAGTCTTGAGGCCACTGGACGCTAGCAGTCTACCATGCACACCATCAGGGGTCAAGCTGGTGGGACCAAGTTCAGCTGGAGGGCTGCAGATGGGGAAGACAGACTTGTGGACACAGAGTCTGGACCTTCTGCCTCAGACCTTCTCAGTCTCCCAAGGCAGACATAGTGGGGTAGCTGGGCCAGTTCGCTGATGAGGAGCCCAAGGTCCAGAGAGATCTCAGTGTGGCCTAGCACTGAGAGGCCAGAGAAAACGGCATTTGCCTTTCCTGATCCCATTCTGTGTATGTGCCAGCATAGGGTGTTACACCATGTGATATGGACTCTCAGGAGGGGCCCCGGGGTTGTGGGGAGTACAGTGGGAGGAAGCCCTCCTCCGGTCCCTACTGTAACTGAACCTGCACTGTGGGCCCTGACATGATTAGGATTCATGAGAGAGTTTGTTTAAATGTCACTGCCCCAAGGCAAGCAGCTGTGTCTGCCCTGGGAGGAGCTGGGCTTCCCCACTCCATCTCTCCCTCCGTTAAGCCTGTGGAGGGAGGCCAGTGGGCTCGGGATGGTGGCCTCTCCGAGGGAAGGCCACTGATTCCCGCAGTCTCTGCCCAGGGTTGGGGCTAGCGGGCTCTGTCTGGTCCTCAGGGACACCTCAGGTTGGCCTGTCCCCTGTGCTCATCTTCCCTGTGGGGCACTCATAAGGCTGTCCTTTCCCCTCCTCACTGATGTGCAGGGCCTGGCCCAGCTCTGCGTGACCATCGAGGAGTGCTGGGACCATGATGCCGAGGCTCGTCTGTCTGCAGGCTGCGTGGAGGAGCGGGTGGCCCTGATTAGGAGGTCGGTCAACGGCACTACCTCGGACTGTCTTGTCTCCCTGGTGACCTCCGTCACCAATGTGGACCTGCCCCCTAAGGAGTCGAGCATCTAAGCCCAGGACACGAGTGGATCTGAAGAGGAAAGAAAAAAAAGTTGTGTTTTGTTTTGGAAATCCCATAACACCAACAAACACATAAAATGCAGCTGCTATTTTACCTTGACTTTTTATTATTATTATAATTATTATAATTATTATTATTAATATTATTTTTTGGATTGGATCAGTTTTTACCAGCACATTGCTCTACTGTATCGCAAACAGCGGACATGTCAGCAGGCGTTGAGGTGCTGAGCTGTGAATGCAGAACCAGCGCCATGCTGAAGAGCCTCAGCCACCTCCTGTCCTTTGGGGTTCATTTTTCCCGCTTTCTCTTTATTTGTTGTCTCAGAATCTGTGACACAAAGAAACCCATCTCCTGTCTTAGGAAACTTAATGCTGCAAACTCTACCTAGAGGAACCTTTGAAGACTGTTACATAAGAACACACCTTCCTCAGAGGAGGAGTCCCCCCAGCCCTTGTCCCCCCACTCCCCCTTATTGTTTTTCTCCCTTTTTAGACAGTGAGTTTCAGAAACAGCAGATGTGTCTTTCACGGATTAACGGGTGTTGTCCTGACTGAGGAAAAATGGGGATGAGAAGGAGGATGGTTTTGGACCGGAGTTGGAAGGGGAGGGCAGAGCTGGGGATGGGATTTGGAGCAGAGCTACACTGGACTTGGGCACATTCGGAGCAACATCCCTTGCTAAGATGCTACTTCTCAGGTAACCAGGAATCGTGGGGAAGGACTGTGTGGGGGGCCGAGCATTAACAGCAAGAGCGGGGGTTTGGAGAAAGTCTGAAAGCAGGTGTGGCTCTGACCCATCTGTTGGCCCTGACCAGTTTTTTCCCATTGACTTGGGCTTGGGCGTTGGACGAAACATTTTCTCTGCCCTAATTTTAAGGTTAGGTAAGGGTAGAAATCATCATGGCTTAGTGACCATATTCTTCATAAGACAATGCTGTAATTATCTGTAGTGGAGGAAGAAGTTATAACACACTGCTTCCTCCCGGAGCAGTTCAGGGAAATGCCCACGGGCGCCCTGCACAGCCAGGTTAAGAGGGTTCCCTGGGCAGGGCTGCCATGCCTGCTGCTCTGAAGACCTGAGGGTCCTGCAGTGCTGGCTTTGCCTTGTGTGGTGACATTGCTGTCCCTTTCTGTGGCTCGTGCACATGGCTTTCTCCAGACCCCTCAAAGAGGTGCATATTCAAAAACCGTTTCTCTATTATGCCATAACCTTGCTCTAGTCAGTGAATGTTCCTAATGCTGCTGTTTCAACATTTGAATTTTTTTAATTTATGAAACATGCAAATTTTTTAAAAAAACGAAACATACATCCACATAGACACACATGCTTTGCAATGTGGCTTCCGAGGTTTCAATTTTGAAAAGTTAAAAGAATTAAAACTTCACGACCACAGACCACCTCAAACCAGAAATACCTCAATTTTCTACTTGTGTAAGTTTTATTATATATTTTATTAGTTGTGTTGTCTCGTAGTAAGTATATTTTAATGTAAGTTGGCTTTTATGACAAGAAAGTTTAAAAGAAATAGAGAAAAAGAAAAAAAAGTTTGAGTCTTCTAGGGAGTGCTACCATTTTTGTTTGATAACGCCCCCTTGTAAATAATTGTCATCAACTGTAGATTGGCTTTCTGGGCCGTCTGGGCATTCATCATTCTTGTTTGTGAAGGCTTTTCCCTCTGGGTTTCTTAAGACTTTTATTTAAAAACTGGATCTCTTTCATCTTGAGGGTAGGTGAGGCGGTGAGCGATGGGGAGAGGTTGACCTGGGTGAGAACGGGAGAGGAGTGCCTCCTCTTGACTTACATGGAGGTTTAGATCTTTCCCTCAACTGGATTGGTTAGTGTTCAGAATGACAGGTAACCCCACTTTAACTTGGCCAGACGGTGGCCCTTAGACGTGCTGGAGGTAAATTTCCTTGAGCAGCAGCGATGGCGGAGGAGGCCGGTAGTGTCTCCATGAGTCCACACTGTGACTCTGGGCAGTCTTTGAGAGAGTGGAGAGTTCTCACGGCACCCTGGCATCACAGTCTGAGGGTGCCTGCTCCCCACTGGGCACACTGTGTGCGTCTGGGGCTTGCCCCTTGGCTGTGTCCCTTTATTGCATGTCTGGGCACAGGGTACTGTGAGAGGTGAGTGTGTGTCCCTCTCAGAGCTCAGTTTTTGTTTCAGAGGTCAAGCTGTGAGCTGGCCAAGGTGGTTACAGGGACAAGATTTTGTTGGGTAAGCTGTGTTGTCTTTTTTTTTTTTCCCTTTTTTTTTTTTTAATTATTTTGTGCTGTGGTATTTTTCTTCCCTCGGAATAATTTTTAACAGCAAAACAGGCCTTACAGCAGTTGCTTTTCTTTTCTACTTATTTCTTTAAAAAGCTTTAAAATATTTATTGAAAAGTGCCATATCTAATTTCTTTAGCTTTCACCTCAGGCAGTGCATCTCTACTTTTCCAGCATCTGCTTTTCAACCTCGGCAACAAATAAACCATTAACAGATGTAGCTGATTCACCACAGGAATGATCAGATCCCTCATCCTGCCACTGCCCATCGTGGAACACTAAACCCCTGCCTCTCCAGTTGGTTTTAGATTTCCTCTGGATGATTTTTTTGTCTGGCTTGATTCTTGTGAGTATAAGTTTTGGGCCTGGCTGTGGAGGGTTGAGCTGTGGCATTGGTGTGGGACCTGCTTGTCCAGATGCAGTACAGATGGGGCTGGCCTTCCTATTGGCCTACAGGCCTTTTATCTGGATGGGCTCCCTCTTTGCCGACCTTGTGCTCAGGTGCTCTGGTGGCTTTTGGGCCTTGGCACCAGAATGAAGTGTCTGGAGATGGTTCCTGTGTGGGCTGGCCCAGTGAGGGGAGTCTGAGGAGCGCCAGTCCTTTGGGCTTCAGGCTGCCTCTCCCTTGTGCTGTGGTATAAAATGCACCCATTGGGCAGTATCTCTGCCTGCTGCTGATGGCAGAAGAAGGTGGGTGATGTTTTTCCAGGGTATGCCCTTGGGAGCCTGGGGTGGGTCTTTTGCACCAGATAAAGTGTCTGTCTGTGTGCTATCATGTATTCTTTGGGGAGCAGCAAACCATTTAGAGATCTGGTTTGTGTTTATTGGGTTGTAGGGCCTCTGTGCTCTTTTCCACAAAGATTTCATGTTGTGTCCACTTCTGGGGAGCTCAGAGAACTAGCCTCCCCCTTACCCCCCAGCTCTTGTGGCAGCCTGGTAGGAGTTGAACATCATTTTGCCTGTTACTGGGAGAGGCTGCCCCATCTAGGCATCTAGGTTGGGAGAGTGGCCAAGCCAGAGGAGAGAGGTGGCCAAGGATCCTTGCTCCTTCCTTTCTAGTGTTCTATCCACACAGGCTCCTGGCTGTGGGGTGGGCTTTGGGAGAGAATGTGTTCTGTTTGAAAACACCCATGATCGGGATCCCTGGGTGGCGCAGCGGTTTGGCGCCTGCCTTTGGCCCAGGGCGCGATCCTGGAGACCCGGGATCGAATCCCACGTCAGGCTCCCGGTGCATGGAGCCTGCTTCTCCCTCTGCCTGTCTCTGCCTCTCTCTCTCTCTCTGTATGACTATCATAAATAAATAAAAAAAATTATTAAAAAAAAAACACCCATGATCACTGGGAAGATATACTGAGCTAGAGAAATAACAGGAATGATCAAGAGAAGGAGGAGGTAAGTGGGGAACAGAGGCCATGGTTTAACAGTGTCCTGCAAAGAACTCTTGATGACGGTCCAGAGGAGGCCTTGGACATAGTCCTTAGGGGCTGGCATCAGCCAGGTTTTCTCCTGGGACCATTGGTCCCTCCCAGGAGTCCTTTGAGTGAGGTACTCAGGGTGAGGGCTGTAGGTGAGCGTCCTTAGGAGGAAGGAAGATGTGGCTGTGAAGGGAAATGGTGAGCATCATCGGCCTGTCATCAGCTGTCACTCTTCAACATGGTCTGCTTGTCCTTCGTTGTTCAACATGGCTCTGTAGGTGTAAGTGCCCAAAGGGATTAGTGATGCCTGGGGAGGAGTTCCCCATGTGTGCCAGCTGCTTCTGACCCAGAATTCTTCCCGTCTGGACTTGGTCATGTGTGCAGGACAAGAGAGATTTTGTTTAGCTTTGAACATCTTCAAGTGGCTTGAGCCCCCTACTCCCATATTCTGAGCCCAGTTAAGAATCCCTCCAGTCTTCTTGTCATGGCTGGTCATGCATGCCTTGCTTTAAAAAGCAAAGCAGGTGATCAGTACTTTCCCGCTCTGTCACCTTTTTCTCCAGCTGCCATGTTCTTGAGCTGCCTGCTACCCTGACACCCTGCACTGAGTACTTGAGTTGTGTGTGTGGCGTTTCTTTGGTGGCAAGCCTAGCTGCCTTTGTGTGTGTATGTGTGCTGTGTGGGGCTCAGGCCTGTTATGTGGCCCCTATGCTCTGAGCCATAAGGGTAGAGAGGCAGACTGGGTGGCCCTCTTAAAAGTGGAATTTTGCCTTTTATAGGATGCAGTGTAAAGTTCTCAGCACATACTGGTAATACAAGGATTTGGTGGTTTTTAGCAATGTAGTAAGCATACGTATGTAAGTTTTTAGAATTGGTACTATAAGTGGAACGGTCAAGAGTTATTCCTGAGAACTTGGCTTGCTAGATCAGTATCTGAATTGGAAATAATTTCCTATAGCTAACTCAGTTTGATTGTTAGTCCCAGCTATCTCAGTAGCCTTTTGGGTTCTTAATGGTTCATCTTTGGAGAGATAGCCAGGCCTGGTTCACGTTTTGGGGGCTCCGTAGACACCCTTCCAAGAAGCACAGTGAATTTACTCATCTATCCGCCCTACCCCCTACCCCACCCCCACCCCTCCATCCAGGGTGAGCAGCCAGAAAGGAAAGAGGGCAAGGTGGCTTTTTCTCTTCATTTGGGTGCCATGAATTCCTTGGTTAGGGGCTGTTTATAAAAGCTGAACTAATAAAATAGTCAGTAGCTACTAAGTGTTCAACCTAGTAATGACGAGTTTAAATCTTGATCAACGGTAATGTTTTAGGTAAAGAAACAGGCCTAGTAATTCAGTTGATGAACTGTTTATCTTCTCAGTCTAGATTTAATGAATTCAGGATTATATGCATACTTGTTTAAGTAAGATTCCTGGTAGATGATTTGTAACCAGCAATCCACCTATGAATGTATCCCAAACCTTTAGAAGGCTTGGAAAAGTTTTTTTTTAAGATAATGACTTAGTTTTGTAGCAAAAAGAAATTGAAGTTTAAAATGCCCCCTTGGAAATTAATTCAGCTGACTCAGCTACATTTTAAAAACAGTGGGTCCAAGAGACCCATGAACTCATCAAATAAAAGTCCAAATTCTCTAGAGGGATATTTTGAGTATTTCTATTTTATACTCATCTGGGGGCCATTGTAAACTTTGGTTTGAACAAGATTTTGAATTTAGACAATTTACCACTATTTAAATTGTACCAAGCTTTTACATTTTTGTGACCATATCTTCCAGGTGTGAATGAAGAAGGACGTTTTGATTGTGGTACTCCACGTATCCCTGTAGTGCCAAAACCAGTGATACTTTATTTGCTCCTATGGCAGCTTGTAGAGATAATACAAGTGGTTTTTCCTCATGAATTAAAATGCATAGTCTCTAAATGCCAGTATGTGGTGATGGGCCCTGTGCTGCCCTTCCTCTCTGGGAGTATCTTTGAACTGTCTGGGGCCTACACAATTCTGAGAGCCACTGCACACCAACCACAGGACCCCAGAGAAGTATACGCTTGGGCACATGTGTATGCAGTTGATTATTCAAACGCAGGCTCTCTGGACATCTGTGGGAAAGTGTTACATTTATTTGCAAAGTTTACATTTTTGAGCTCACAGTTATGAAAAGTATGACCCATTATTAGCTAATGCTTTTTAGGCAGGTGAGGATGGGTGTTTTGTATTTTGCTTTGTTTTGTTTTGACAAATGGATGAGTTCTGTCTTGAGTCCTGGGAATTTCTGCTATTGGTTGGGCACAGGATCATTCTCTGTTTTTCCCAATCACGTTTGCATTGGAATGTTGTTAGGTAGCATTGTAAATAAAAGAATAGGTTATATAATAGAGATATGACACTTGAAATTTTACTTTAAAAAAATCTATAGCTCTACATATATATTTAGTTATATCACCTGACAGATTCTTCTGCACAGTGTGGAGATTGTTTTATACCACAGATTATTTTTATAAAGTCTAGTGAGTTTGAATGGGAATGATTTTGTAATCAGACTAATGAGCTTTACCTTTCAGGATAAATGTACACTGGAGTGTGAGTGGTGTGGAGCTTTTACCTAGTGTTCATATGGATTCTCATGATACACTGGCAGATGGGAGGCCATTTATGGGTCTTGTTTGGCCAAAACTCCACTTGAAGCTGTGAGGGACAGTGATGCTTCTGCTCAGCTCCCTGCAGATTGGGTGGCAAGGGGCTGAGGAGAGGCAAGAAGAGCCTGCGGTATGTTTTACATTTGTGCTTCCTCCTGAGATTTCTTCTGAACAAAGCGTTCTGAAGTTAGAAGTGAGTTTGTGAATTCCTATTACAGGATGTAGTCATATGAGGGTGTTTTGAGGAACAGAAATCATATGGGAGTGTAGATTGGAGCAGGTTGGGATGATTAAGATTCAGGCTATAAACAGTTACAATGAGAGTTTGGTGATTTGAGGAATCCACAAAACTGAATTATCTAGGACCAAATTTTCCAGTTTTCAGGACATAATTTCCAGTTGACTAATTATTCAGAATAGGAGGGTGGTGTGTGGACACAGCAATCAAGTTAAATGGTGAGCTGCCAGGCACATTGTGTCTTTTCTGGTTGGGGCCTCTTGGACACAAGAGTGCTTGGGGCAGCTCCCTGCTTTCATCTATTGCGTCACAACCAGGAGTGCTCTGAGGAAGTTCAGAGCCCCATACCAGAGGGCATCTTCCAGGTGTCACATAGCCCTTCCTGCTCTTCCTAAAAAGGTCAGCATGACTACCATGGTATGGGAGGTGGTCTTCATGTTATTAGCCTTTTTATTTTGGGGTAGAGAGTAGATGGCTATTTGGGTGAGGCTTTTGGATGGTGCGATACAGGGAAGGTGAACGATGAAGCTGATTCTTTGTATTGTCACTGCCAGTCCTGAGGCCCAGCTGAAGGCCTGTCCCCCGGCCCTGGGCTGCTGCACTCAGAACTATACTGGTTGGGACAGTTTTGTCAGGAGAATCCCTGATGTGTCATTTTAAACGAGCTGTGCTTTTTCTTCAGTTTGGTTCAGAGTGAAGTTTTACACTTGACCCCTTTTGTACTTTGGATAAATATAGTTTCAGCAGGTCCAGTAGCACTCGAGGAACTAGCCTGTCATTCCTTTCCCTGCTCCCTGTGAAAGAACATTTCTCTGCTTTCCAGCCACGTGTCTTGGAATGTAATTTTGTTGTGCCTTTGTTTTTGTCACCTGCCTTCCCCCAAAAGCAACTGCTGTAAGCTTTTTTCTACTTGTCTTTTCTAGCCCAAAACCCTACCTTTTTCCTTTTTCCCAGCTGTAATTTCTGGATGCAGTTACATGCTCCAGGTATTTGAAGAACCAGTTACCTCAGACCTCATGTTGAACAGTGTCACCATCTGGGTCCTCTCGATACTGCAGGCTTGTAACATACACATGCAGGAACCCTGCCAAGTACGGGCACTTATTTGTTTTAAAGTTAAACTCTTCCCAAGGACTGAAAAGGGGGCTTCTGGCAAGCTCTTCACTGCACTGTGGTGGGATAGGTCTAGAGTGTCATCTGAACGGTGCTTCCTGGGTTCCTCTCTGAATTCTGCCATTTTCAGTATTCTCGAGTCTGAATAGGCAAAGTGATTCAATTGGCTGGTCTTGCACACAAATCAGTTCCAAAGATGAGCTCTTTGTAACACATTTCCAGTCACTACAACTCAAATGTGTAGAACATTCCTTTAAATGGCAGGATTAAAAAACCCACCATCCACCACTGTGCATTTTGGGAAGATGTCTGTAGCATATGTTGCTGTGAAATTAGGCCTTGCGGGATACGGCTGTTTGTCATTTTGATGTATTTTAAATAAATATATATATATATATATTTTTAAAGAGCCTTTTTTACCAGTTCAAAAAGTTTAATTAACCAGCAGTCACCACATCTGAATTTTTGTCTCTGGGGCATAGATGGCAGACCAAGATAAAAAGTGGTAACTCAGCCATAAGAGCGTGGGATGCCTGCCTGGGCTGTCCTGCTGACCATGGGATGCCAAGGTCAGTATGTTCCCAGTGGGTTCTGATCAGCCCTCAGAGTGTTTGGTCTCTGCCCTGATCAGTGGACTGTTGATTTCAGTCCCTGCAAGTGCTTTAGCCCAAGTGGGGTTTTCTCAGAGCACTGCCACAAGCTAAGTGTATGTTTAGCCAAATAATTTCTCCATTAAGGGAAAAATAAGCTCATTCAAATGTTACCAGCAATGACAGAGATGAGAGTAGGAAAGATTAGGCAACATCGGGATTTTGATTTGGAAAGTGTCCAGGTCACTGTCAAAGGCCGTCTGAGAGCCAGTGATCACAAAGATATTCTTAGGAGACCTCATCTGGAAGTGTTAAGACCTCCTGTGAGTGGAGGGATTGCTAAAATGCCAGCAGCTTTTTCCCCCATTTTTTTTCTAGAATTCTGTAAAAATGCAAAGAAAATTGGGTGGTACTTAAGAATTGAGGGTGAGGGTTACCGCAGAATAGAAGCATACTTCTAGATTTCAGTTCCATACCACAAATCCACACAATGCCATTTTTCAACTGTACAAAAGAATCTGCTTATGAATTTGACATGATCTTAGTGGTAGCGTCAAAGGGCCGAATTTTTCACCTGTTAATATTTTTCCACATTTGTCCTTGAATCTGAGTAACTTTACAGTACTGTAAATTTAACTTACATTGAGTTTGATGTCAATTCTTGTGAAAAGAGCTTCTGCATGTAACAGATACACAGTTAAAGAACACAGCAGAATACAAATTTTGCAGGATGAATTTTGGAACCAACAGAAAATGTCACCTCTCATTTGCCATCTTTATGTATCAGTTTTACGAGCTACTTCTAAATTTGTACATTATGTGTAAGGAAAAGAAGGAAAACCCTAAGACTCGTCTAACTTAGTGGAGAATATGTATGTCGGGTTTAGAATGGATAGCGAAGTCTTACTGAGCTGTGTTATCTAACTTGTATATAACAATTGTAATTAAAAGTCTGGATTCACCTGTTTCTTGCGGTTTAAAACAATGAGTAATTACAAACTCTGGAAATGTGACTAGTATATGACTTTAAGGCTGTAGAAGTGAGGAAGCTCTTCAAGTGCTAAAAATAAAGACTTTTAGTTTTTGGCTCAAATTCAGTAAGTACTGTTTGTATACCAGGATATGTGAGATGTAAATGTAATAGGTCACTTTTCACCCTTGTAGCTATAAAATAAAAATTTTGTAGAACAGAAATAGCTTGTACTACTGAATTAACAAAAGTTATACTAAAGTATCATGTTAAAATATATATATATATACACACACACATACACACACACACACACAGAGTTAAGCTTGTTGCTGTTACCCTGTCTGGATTTGAAGAGTGTGCTGATATATATATAAATATATATATCACACACATACATATATATTATATACACGCACACATCTAAAATGGCCTAAAGCAGACATCCATGTAATTACAGTTGCAAAATGAAGACATTTTGGAAAGAACATTGTATCATAGTTCATTCATTTGCAGTGGATCTTTGTTCCTTTTTACTGTGGTAATTTTAGAAATGAGTGTCAAGTTTGAAATTAGATCTGCTAAGTTGGGGTTTTGCTGCTTGAACTCTGCACTGGGTCCTCAAATAAACCGATGTGAATGTAGTTTTTCCCCCTGTGTGAAGAAGCAGCCACACCCCAACAGAATAGGAGGAAAAATCTAGAGCTATTTCAAGTTTTATCTTTTTGTATATGAAAATAAAATAATAATAATAAAACTATCCTGTTGTCTTTCTTAGTCACATGTCAGGGGATTGAAGTTTCTTTTCATGGGAATTAGAAATAAATACAGTGGTGTTCTCCACTTACAGGGCCGTGAGTTCCTGTTGGGTACACATGCAGTTGTTAATGGCTGAGTGCCTAGTCTGTCATGGTCCTGTGGTCCTGGAGCTCAGCACAGGTCTTCATTTCTGCCCTTCAGAAGCTCAGGACCTAGTTGGAGACACTGTGGGTTTCTCCTAAATGGACTGTCCTGGGACCCGGGGTAAGTTCCTGTATGGGAGGGGTATCTTTTCCAAATCTCCCAAGATTCTGGTACCTCCCCACCTACCCTGTCCTATACATTGTGGACAACCCTGAGCAATATTTTTGTAAGTGGAGCAGAGAAGCCTAGAAAATAACTTATTCAAGGCTACTGCAGAATAGAGGCTCTGTCATTTCTAAACATGGCTGAGTATCCAGGTCACTTATAAAAAATATAGTCATGGGGCACTACCCCAGATCTGAATCAACTAGCCAGGTCTCATGTTTTAGAATTCCTGACTTACCTCACGAGATGAAAACATGGTTCCCTGTTAACAAAATAACAAGTCTCTACAGCCTAAGAAAACTGGAAAACCCCAGAAATTACCTCACTGCTTTCTGTAGTAACACACAGGATTTTTTTTTGCCTTTGACTAATATTTGCTAAACCAGCTTTGAATCCTTCTGGTAGGGTCTGCCTTTTTATTCATGCTTTAATATGAGAATTAACCTGTTTGGAACTCAGAGAATGAAATTTGATGAAGGCACCCTTTATTTAGGGACCAGGTGTCCAGCTTTGGACTATTTCTGCTCTCTCAGATTTAGATAGTTCACCTTTTATTAGTGAGTGGCTGTAATAAGTGCAGAGAAGGAGAGGAAGGCTAGCATTGTTGAAAGAGGACCTTCCAGCTAGAAATGCTGGAAGGTTGGTTGGACCAGAGGGTTCATCTGGTCACACTTCTCCTTCAGCAAGGGAATTTCTTCACCAGAAGAACACAGAAGCTGATTTCTAAAAACAGGCTTGCTCAAGTGAGCAAGTAGGAGAGGGTTCAGGGACCATTAAACTTGCCCTCCCACTCCTTCCCTCAATCACTGGGTCTGGATGAGGAAAAGTCACCTACCATTTCTCTCTCGTTCTGGTGTTTAACCAACCACGACGCTTAGGAGGGCCTTGAGAAATACCCCTTAAATGAATGAATTATTTAGTAAATTCAAGTAGAAGCTGCTGAGGTGGCTTTGAAACCTACAGATATGTCCATGTTGTCTGATTGTATTTGGTGGGACTCTTGGTTGCAAATGACAGAAACCGTAAACAAAAAGGGGGTTTCACTGGAAGGATCCTGGGGCAAAGGGCCAGCCAAGTGTTGGGTAAAGGTAAGCCACTTCCAGGCTTCAGGAGTCTTGGCAGCCAGGGTCACCACATTGCAGCCTTTCACTTACATCTCAGCATTTCTTCCACTCTTGCTCCATGCAAGACCAGATGCATCTGCTCCTTTGTCCACTTAGCATGAAACAAAGCTACAGATAGTACCAGAGTTTCATGTCACAGCTCTGCCATCTGAAGAGACTCTGGATCCACAATCCCTGGAAAGATTCTACTTGACCTAGCTTGACCAATTAGGGTCAGAGGTGCAGGGGATTACACAGAATGACTTTATAATAGGTATTCCTGGGTAGGGACGTAGGCCCATGAAACTGTCAAAACAAGACAGTTCTTTAGCTGGTTGTTAGAAAGGGCCTCGTGCTTAGGTCCATGTGGGGTGCTGCAGATTGTGCTGCAAAATGAACAAAACCCATTTATTTTGAGCACGAGTGCCCCAAACATACCCTTACTCTGCCAGCAGGCCTTCAGCAGTCTGGCTTTTATATTCTGGCAAGATAAAATAGGACTAATAAAAAATCGCCAACGTTTACAGAGCACTTAATGACATGATTCTTCCCTAAATGCTTTACGTGGTGGATGCCTGGGTGGCTCAGATGGTTGTGTCTGCCTTCAGCTCAGGTCATGTTTCCGGGGCCCTGGGACTGAGTCTTGCGTCTGGCTCCCTGGTAAGCAGGGACCCTGTGTCTCTCTGCCTGCCACTCCGGCTGCTTGAATGTGCTTGCTCTTTCTCAAATAAATAAAGTCTTAAAAAAAAAAGAATAAATCACATGGTAACCTTTAATCCTCACAAGAGCCCTAAGGTCTAATCATCTTCATCATAATTACTTTTGCTTATTTATGTATAAATAATATTTAGTGTATATTTTTCATATATGATATTACTAGCATTCCTATCTAAAAGAGGAAACAGAACCCCTGAAAGGTGAAGTCACACACCCAAAGAGGAAAGTAGTGGAGTGGGTGTCCAAACCCCTGCACTCTGATTGGAGTAGTGTCCTGTCAAGACACTCCTTGGGGAGGTGCAAAGCTATTCTCATATAGGAAAATAGGACTTGTATGCTGTGACCTCAAAGCCAGGTGTCCTGAAGACATCCAGCGTGGCACAGGATTTGGAATCAGACCTGAGTTGGACCGGCGGCTCTGAGGCCCTCCTGTAACCACGTGCAGTGTTTACTCACTAAAGGTATTTTCTTCCAGGACTGTACATGCACACCACTGCGCCCTCAGGCGCCGTGCCTCCCACTCATCCCCGGATCAAGGGAACCGGGGGCGGAGCGGGGTGGGGGGCGGCTTCACTCGCGCCTCCAGCCTGGACAGCAGGGGGCTCCCGCGGCCCTCAGCGGGGAGGCTGTGCGCCTGCGCTCTGCGCGTCCGGCGTCTCCGGGGCGGGTACATACCCGGCAACGCCGCGTTGCGCATGCGTGCCTCGGTCCCGCGGTCGCGATTGGCTTTCAGGCGTCAGAGCTGCTGTGCGCACGCGCGGCTGCAAAAGGCAGGCGCTCCGGGGGGCGATGGCTGCCCAAACTTTTGCTTCCCGCCTCGGAGGCTCCGGGCGCTCCCTGGGCGTCTTCGTGGCCGGAGCTGCGGTGGGCGCCGCGGCAGGCGGGTTCGCGGCCGTGCAGTTGCTCGAGAGGCAGAGCGCCGAGGCGGCGCCGGCACTGAGGGAGCGCGACGGTAAGTCCGAGGGCCTGCGCCTCCTTCTGTGGCCCGGGTCTCGGGCTGGAGTCCTGCCCCCGGCGCTGGTCGCCGCCTCGACCTGCGGCCGCGGGCCCGGGGGGCCTCTGGTCTTCCCGCCGGGCCTCCCCGCTCCGCTTGGGGCCTCGCCAGCCTCCCGCGCGTCCCTCTCCGCCTTCATTTTCTCGTCTTCTGCCCCCGAGGTTGCCCCCTGTGTGTTTCCATGCCTGTGACGTCCGTGGGGTCGTTGGTTCCACAACAGCTCGGAGCGTTTGTCCTCCACCGTCCACACCGTCCAGCACCCGGCGCGAAACTGACAGTACGCGTGGGTGAAGGATTCGTTAGCGCCTGCGGTTAGCAGCGTAATTGGCCTCGTTTTGTCTCCGTCCAAGTGAAGAGTACGCGCAGGAACCCTAAAAATGAATCCATCAGGTTATTTTATCAGCAAAATAAAAAAAAGGGGGGGGGTAGGGGGCTTATTCGGGAAGAGCAGAGGACAAGCGAGCTATGGCAAAACCGGAGGCAGGTCGAGCGGCCCAAGGAGGGGAGCTTTATGCAGAAGCGGAGGCAGCTGGGGCAGGTTGTTTTGAGAAGTCTACGGGAGAAAAGTAGCAGTTGAGGGTGATGAGTTTCTCGTTGGCTGAGTGGCAGGGGTGTCGACTTGTAGGATTTGTACTGTCCTTGGGGGCCTCTAGTCTATGATTCTTTCCTCCTGACAGTTCTTCTGTCCGGGTCTGTAATTCACAGTTTTTCTGTAATTGACTTGGAGTAGGGTGGCTTCCCCCTCCTAGCCTCCCCTTCTAGCTTCCAGAGCCCACTTTCCTGAGGTTTCTCTGTTCATTTTCACACCTACTAGCCCTTCTCCAAAGTATAGAAATCCTCACGCTACCGGGGGTACCTTATATTTAACCATGAAAATAAGCTCATGCTCATTTTTTAACTTTCCCTGACATGCAGATTTTACTTGCTCCTTCTGATACTTCGCATCTAGCAAGAGAACTACTGGGGTAGGTTGAAGACCTGGAGAAGGAATCAAGAGAGGATTATTTTTTGTTTGTTTGTTTTTGTTTTTTTTAGTTTTTATTTATTTATTACAGTCACACTGAATGGGAGAGAGAGGCAGAGACACAGGCAGAGGGAGAACCAGGCTCCATGCACCGGATGGAGCCCGATGTGGGATTCGATCCCGGGTCTCCAGGATCGCACCCTGGGCCAAAGGCAGGCGCTAAACCGCTGCGCCACCCAGGGATCCCCAAGAGAGGATTATTTGGAAGCCGATTCCTTGTTAAATGTGTGCTTGGTTTCTCCCACTAGGAAAAGTAAGATCGGTTTAGTATTTTGCTGCAGTGCACATCTCTTCTTCAGTTCCAGAACGATGGATGATAGCCTTTTAAAATATTTATAGGGGATCCCTGGGTGGCCCAGCGGTTTGGCGCCTGCCTGCGGCCCAGGGTGTGATCCTGGAATCCCAGGATCAAGTCCCACGTCGCGCTCCTGGCATGGAGCCTGCTTCTCCCTCTGCCTGTGTCTCTGCCTCTCTCTCTCTCTCTATCATGAATGAATGAATGAATGAATAAATAAATAAATAAATAAATAAATAAATAAAACCTTTAAAAAATAAAATGTTTATAAAAGGCTGTGTTTTGTCTCCACACCGTCTTAAAATGTAATGAGGAGGTAGGCTTTCTCCCATTAAATCATATCAGTGACTAGTAATGATGGGTTTTTCTTTTGCTGCTTTTGAATACATGGTACTTTGTGGGGCAGAGATTTGGACATTTGATGTGAAAGACCAGTAAGATCAGGTCCTTATTTAAAAGTAAATGGGATAGGGATCCCTGGGTGGCGCAGCGGTTTAGCGCCTGCCTTTGGCCCAGGGGGCGATCCTGGAGACCCGGGATCGAATCCCACGTCGGGCTCCTGGTGCATGGAGCCTGCTTCTCCCTCTGCCTGTGTCTCTGCCCCTCTCTCTCTCTCTCTCTCTCTCTCTCTGACTATCATAAATAAATAAAAAATTAAAAAAAATAAAAGTTAATGGGATAGCTGCAGTTTATTTTGTTAAAACTACATGACTGATTGTAAGCAAAGCCTGCTATCTCTTTTCTCTGCCTTGGAAATAATTGCAAAATGGGATCTGATGGATTAGACTTTTGAGCCAGTCCTTTGTAAGTCTGACCCCTCTCCCTTTACTGAGTTTTTTGTTTCTAGTAAGAGTTACTAATTATTTGTTATTTTTGTCTCCCTCTCCCCATTTTCATTTTTAGGTTCTGCAGAAAAGTCTCTCTTGGAACAATTTGGAGTCCCTTTAACTGGAACAGAGACTAGGCATTACACTAATCATGCCTTGTCTTATGATCAGTCAAAGCGGGTGCCCAGATGGGTTCTTGAACATATATCCAAAAGCAAGATAATGGGTAGGTGGTTAGAAGTAGAGGCATTGATGAAAGGTATTTCCAAATTTAGAACAAGAAGGATTATTGATTCAACCTTTTTCACATTACAGCACATTTAGAAAATGATGATGTATGTTAGCTCACTTAGATAAATGGACCTACCTAGTAGCCAAGGAGCTCCAGACTTCCCAGCTTTCTAAGGGGCTGAGAGGATCAGTCAATATCTCGACATATGAGTTGGAGGCTCTGTCCTAAATATTACTACAACTAGCACTATTTGTTCAATTAATCTCCACAAATAATTTAAAAATGGCTGCCACATGTCTGGCACTGTGTTGAGCTTTGGGACCAGAGCAGATAGTCTCTACGTTCTTGGCACTTTGAGGTATGTGGGGTATGGGTTGACCTATCAAACAAATAATCATGAATGTATAATTATTATTGGTAATAACTGTTCTAAAGGACAAGTGATTGCAAGTTGGGTTAGTATAAATAAGGAACAGTAAAGAATGTGATGAGCGATGATGTAGGAGAACCTGATTTTGATTAGCAAGGCTTCTCTTAAGAAAGTGGCTTGGAGGGTGGATGGCTGTTACCTGGGCACAGGAGTTGAGTGGTCCTTGGATTGTGGACAAGAGCATTCCACACAGAAAGAAAAGCACAGCTGCATCTCTGAAGGCCCCAGTGTGAAGAGTTTTTGTTCCTTTAGGGAACTAAAAGAAGCCCAAAGTGGCCAGAGCAAGGGAGAACCTGTGAAATAAGACTGGAGAGGTCGGCAGGCATGTAAATCTGTTCGTGGTTGTATTTTTTATATGTTTTTATGTCTTGGTGGATTCCTGTAATTAAGGTGATCAGACTTTGACCTTTAATGTTAAATTGATTTTTATGTATATTATTCTACTTTCCTTAAACTGTTAACTACTTGTCTTGCCTTTCATTCATAAAAGGATTACCAATTTAATAGCCGATTTTATTTTCATTTATTGGTTACCAGTGAAAGTTAATATTTTGTGAATTATTCTTTGTGAGTTATTTTTACCATTTTCAGTTGGGATATTGTTTTTTGAATTGATTTGTGGGGGTCTCTTATGAGATAAAGTGTTACCTTTTTCATAGTGTTTTATTCATATTTTATTTGCCTTTCAATTTGCTATAAGGCCTGGATTTTGCTTGCTGCTAGAAGGAAACTGATGTAGTTGGAAACTTTATCATAGCAGTTGAGAGTTGATTATAAACTTATATCAAGAGAAACTCGATTTAGTCTAAGCCTAATGAATTTCCTTTAAATACAAAACTTTTTCCAAGATGTAAGGAATTTCAGCTTTACTAATTTTATCCTGCTATTAAATTACCATTTTCAGAGGCATATAAGAAAACACTATATTTCACATTGTAAATCCTGTGGGCTGTGTACCTTGAAAACAGGAAGCAGTATATTTGAGATTTACTTGATTTTAGTTTTTTTTTTTAAGATTTTATTTATTTATTCATGAGAGACACACAGAGAGATGCAGAGACATGGGCAGAGGGAGGAGCAGGCTCCCTGTAGGGGCCCAGTGCGGGACCTGATCCCAGGCAAAGGCGGACCTGAGCCAAAGGCAGATGCTCAACTGCTGAGCCACCTAGATGTCCCTACTTTATTTTAGTATAAAGAGTCTTTGTTTTCAGTAATGACAGACTAGATTACTCAGACTAACTGCTAAAAACAAGAAGAAATGTTAGTAGTAGTATGTAAGAAGTATGTAGGAAAAAAAATCACTTAAGAAAAGAGTCAGCATGATTGTGCTGAATTGCCAAGCCAGTGTCTAAGGGAAAGCCAGAATCCAGAGAGGTAAGAGTGGTCTTGGTAAACCAAAACCACATTGCTTTTGATTCTGCACCTTTGCAGGGTGAGGGAGACCGAACATGAGTCCTAAGACTCCTCTAAGGTAGATTATCTTATAGGAGACCCTCCCCACATTAGCCTAGAACCCCAAAGGGCTGTACCCTGTGGGGAGGAAGGGGAAGCTAGAACTAACCTGCCTGCTCACCATAGGAGACCATGTGGAAGGTTGTCTTGGCACTGAGCTGAAAGGGTCGAAAGGAAAATAAAAAGTTTGTTCCAGAGAAGTGGAGGCCATAAACTGGCTATCATGTAGACTTATAGCCCAAAGCCATGGAGCCTGTATAGATCAAGTCCTTAAGCTGTGAACTTGGTATAACATGGTCCTCCACTGGCTGTGCCTCCAGATAACCTAATAGAAACAAATTTATATTTACCTCAATGAAGGGATCTTTATCCCACAGATGAATTTTCAAAGGCAGTGAGCACCAGGCAGAGATAACCAGGCATATAAGGAAGTGATTCCAGTGATGATACTATGTAAGAGAAGTTTACTAATAGTTCTGTTATTTTTTTTTCCTTACAAAGTGGTTCTAAAAAGCTAGGTATCAGATCATTTATTCTGTCTTGGGATCTGATCATTTGAAATTTTTCTGGCTGAATGAGATGACATTGGAATCAGTAACTTCATTGGTCTCCATTTTAAACTTTTTGAGTAGCAGCCTGTGTTCTGTTTATTCCTATCATTTCTGTAATTTTACAAGTTCTGGCCTAATGACAGTGGAAAATGTAGTATTAGGATTTGCTCAAGTCCACTGTGGCAAACTATTCTGGAGGTGTCAGAATATAAATAAAATTGAGATTTTTTTTTCCTTCCCATATGTTACTCAGATATTTTGTTTTAGGAATTTCTGAATTGAACTCATAACCTAAATGTTTTGTCATGGCTTAGGAGGCAGCAAGCAAGATATCACAGACACTCTCCCCCCTTCCATAGGCTCTGCTTGCCCAGAACAAATTGTTTCATGACTGTATATATATCCATTATTTTAGTACATAAAAACTTGTCAAATGTATTTGCACAAAATATGATACATGAGGGTCTTTTTAAAAAGGAAGAATTTATTATGTAGGTAAGCTTTTTATATAGTTCAGCTATTTAATTGGTCATTGTTTTTACTTAAATACTATCCAGAGGATTTTTTTTTGCCTTTAATTTGAAAGACTAGAAACAGAAGTAAATGAGATAGCTACACTGTATGAAAAGCATTCTTGGAATGATTGAACTTTCCAGCGGAGTTGCGGCGGCCGCGAGGTTCCCGGCAGTGCGGCCCCGGCGCGGAGCTGGGAGCCTCGGCCAGCGCCCGGCGCCGCGCCCCCGACCCGCAGCCATGGTGCCCGGGGCGCCCGGCGCGGCCCTGAGCCTCTGCCTCTGGCTGCCGGCCCCGGCGCGGCGGCCGCTCGGCGGCTGGACGAGTCCCTGTCGGCCGGGAGCGTCCAGCGCGCCCGCTGCGCCTCCAGGTGCCTGAGCTTGCAGATCACGCGCATCTCCGCCTTCTTCCAGCACTTCCAGAACAATGGTTCCCTGGTTTGGTGCCAGAATCACAAGCAATGTTCTAAGTGTCTGGAGCCCTGCAAGGAGTCCTGGGACCTGCGGAAGCAGCAGTGCCAGAGCTTCTGTGAGCCTCTCTTCCCCAAGAAGAACTATGAATGCCTGACGAGCTGTGAGTTCCTCAAGTACATCCTGTCAGTGAAGCAGGGCGACTGCCCAGCCCCGGAAAAAGCCAGTGGGTTTGCCGCCGCCTGTGTGGAAAGTTGTGAAGCTGACAACGAGTGCTCTGGGGTTAAGAAGTGTTGTTCGAACAGGTGTGGACATACCTGTCAGGTGCCCAAGACGCTATACAAAGGTGTCCCCCTGAAGCCCAGGAAGGAGTTGCGATTTACAGAACTGCAGTCCGGACAGCTGGAGATTAAGTGGTCCTCGAAATTCAATATTTCCATTGAGCCCGTGATCTACGTGGTACAGAGAAGGTGGAATTACGGGATCCATCCTAGCGAGGATGATGCCACACAGTGGCAGACGGTAGCCCAGACCACAGATGAGCGGGTCCAGCTGACCGACATACGACCCAGCAGGTGGTATCAGTTCCGAGTGGCAGCTGTCAATGTGCATGGCACCCGAGGCTTCACGGCCCCCAGCAAACACTTCCGCTCCTCCAAAGATCCATCCGCACCCCCAGCTCCGGCCAACCTCCGACTTGCAAATTCCACCGTAAACAGTGACAACACTGTGACCGTGGCTATTGTTTGGGATCTCCCTGAGGAACCAGACATCCCCGTGCATCACTACAAGGTGTTTTGGAGCTGGACGGTCAACAGCAAATCCCTCGTCCCAACAAAAAAGAAGCGGAGAAAGACTACGGATGGGTCCCAGAATTCGGTGATCCTGGACAGACTCCAGCCAGACTCCAGCTACACCGTAGAGCTGCAGGCCGTGGCGTACTGCGGGCAGACGCGCCTGAAGGGGGCCAAGGCCTCCCTGCACTTCACGCCGGCGCACGCCGCCAGCCACAAAGAGCACGTCGGAAAATCCAGAAAGAGCCCGATGCACATACAGCCCCCTTTCCAGAGACGACGGCCCACTCGCCTCCTGGAAATCGGAGCCCCCTTCTATCAAGACAACCAACTGCAGGTGAAGGTCTACTGGAAAAAGACCGAAGATCCCAGCGTCAGCCGCTACCACGTGCACTGGCTCCCGGAGGCCTGCGCCCAAAACCAGAGCTCCGCGCCAGGGACCGCTGCTGCCATCACCCAGGAAAACTATATAATTCTTCAAGATCTAGCATTTTCCTGCAAATACAAGGTGACGGTCCAGCCGACAGGGCCCACGGGCCGCCTGAAGGCCGAGACGGGCTTCTTCACGATGCTGCCCTGCTCTGCCCTGAAGGGGAAAAGCCCCAAGCCCGGGAGCTGCGCCGGCGACGCAGGTCCCCCGCCCAAGGTGCTCGCCAAGCCCGAGAACCTGTCCGCCTCGTTCGTGCTGCACGGGGCCAACGTCACGGCGCACTTCTCCTGGAGGATGGCCCGCGGCGCGCAGCGGCCGCCCACCGGCTTCCAGGTGACCTGGGCCGAGGTGACCTCCGAGAGCAGGCACAACAGCCTGCCCAACAGCATCATCTCCCGCTCGCAGATCCTGCCGTCGGACCATAACGTCCTAACAGTGCCCAACCTGAGGCCGTCCACGCTGTACCGGCTGGAAGTGCAGGTGCTGACCGCGGGCGGCGAAGGGCCGGCCACCATCAAAACCTTCTGGACGCCCGACCTCGCGCTGCCCTCAGAACACAGACCGCATCTTAAGAACCGGCATCCTCCTCACTACAAGCCTTCCCCAGAAAGATACTAAACGGTTCAAAAAGATGTCTGAGAATGTACGAGCGAGCAAGCTGCTTGAGCCTCCAGGTCCAGCCGCGCTGCTCCGGAGGCAGCAGGTGCCCACGCACCCTCCCTCTCCCGTGTAACCTTGTACCCTCCGTACCTCTGCCCATCTCGACGCATGTGGAAACAGTCCCAGACGGCCCGTGGAGGTGGACGCACATGTTCCCTGGAATGGAGGAGACGAAGACGGGGCCCATCTAGCTGGAAACCTGAATGTCCGCGGAGGAGTCTCGGTGGAATGAGTGCAGAGATGAGATCTCTCTGAATTTGGAGCCGCAAATTCTCAGAACGAATCAGTGTGACAGATACACAACTGATACACATACTAAGCATAACGTTCATCAATAAAACATTTTTAAATTAAAAAAAAAAAAAAAAGAAAAGCATTCTTTCCTAGACTAGTCCTTGCTAAATTCAGATGAGGTATCTGAACTATCCCAGGAACTTGAGACATGCATGCAATCACTAAGTACTAGCTGCTCAGAGAGATACTAGCCAGCAGCAAACAGCTTGCCTTGCTTAGAAAATCTTGAGGGATATTTGCCCACTGATAACTTACCATTTTGTGTGTTTTTCTTCAGGTGATGCCAACAGAAAACATTGTAAGTTCAAGCCTGATCCCAACATCCCACCAACCTTCAGTGCCTTCAATGAAGACTATATTGGGAGCGGGTGGTCACGAGGACACATGGCTCCAGCAGGAAATAACAAATTTTCATCTGTAGGTATATATTTTGGGAAGGATGGGAATGTGGGGCTGATAGTCTGTATACCATAGGACTTGGGCATTAAAAGCATAGGAGTCAAACCTTAAAATTTGAGAATTACTACTCTTAATATTTTGTATTTTCCTTTCTGACTTAATTCCTTTTTTTGCTCAGATAATGAGATATTCTTAAACAAGTTGAAAAAGTAAAGCTAAATGTTATATGTAAAAGAGAATTGGAGAGCTCTTAGGAGCTAATTATATATTCATTTTTATTTTGAAAAATTTCAGACCTGTAGAAGGGTTGAGAGTACAGAAAAAACATTTTTGTCTATAGAAAAATTGAAAAGATAGTACAGCAAACACTTTTTTTTTTAGGAAGGGGGAAGGAGCAGGGAAAGGGAGAGAGAATCTTTTTTTTTTTTTTTAAAGATTTATTTATTTATTCATGAGAGACACAGAGAGAGAGGCAGAGACATAGGCAGAGGGAGAAACAGGCTCCATGCAGGGAGTCTGATATAGGACTCAATCCCGGGACTCCAGGATCACACCCTGAGCCAAAGGCAGATGCTTAACCGCTGAGCCACCCAGGTGTCCTGAGAGAGAGAATCCTAAGCAGGCTCTACACTCAGTGTGAAGCCTGATGCAGGCCTCAATCCCATGACCCTGAGATCACAACCTGAGCCAGAGTCAAGAATTGGATGCTTAACCTACTGAGCCACCAAGACGCCCCAGCAAACCCATTTTGATATGTTTTCTTCGTATATACATACATATGTATGTATGTATATGAAAAGTCTTTTTTAACCATCAACAGTAAGTTGTAAACATCATAACACTTTATTCCTAAATAGATTACTCAGAATATTGTGTCGTCTAAGAATGACAATATTGGTATATATGACAAGAGTATCATACCAAGAAGTGTGTGTATATGTACTTTTGAATATTTGTACAGTAATCTTTGATATACAGTTCATACTCAGGTTTGCCAAATTGTCACAATTGTATTCTTTACAGCTTTTTTTTGATTCAGTATTCAGTCATGAATTATATACTAAGTTGTCCTGTCTCTCTCTAATCTCCTTTACCTTAGGGTAAGTTATCTGCCAATAAAAAGGAGAGAAATATCTTTTATGACATGGATATTTATTGCATCAATCGTTGGTGATTATTGTCATTAAGGTAGTGGTTTTTAACCTTAAGTACTCATTATAATCACCCAGGGATGTTTCAAAAAATCCTGATGCCCAGACCTAGAGCAATTAAATCAGAAACTCTAAGGAGTGGAACCTAGACACCAATATTTTAAAGTTTCCTGGGTTATTCCAGTGTGCATTCAAGGTTGAGAACCACTGCTCGAAGAGAAGATAATTGACGGCATTGGTAGTTAATACAGGTCAGTAGAAGGAAGTGATAGTGACAGCCTGGTATGTATGGGTCAGGAGTGTGAAATGAATAAACACAGTGGCCAGAGATTGAGAACAAAGAATTCTTCTCTGCCACTATTGAACTAATATGTTTGTATTGTATTCCTTAAATAAATTTTCTGTAAGTTGACCTTTGTGGAGAAACTCTTTGCCAGAGGCTGAAAGCCAGAATTTATCCTTTAGCCTTATAATAGAAACTTTATTCGTAGAGTCTGCATTACAGGTTTGAATTTTAAGAAGTGCAAAGAAAGCTAGCACACCAAACTACTTTTTTATATCCCTTTTTTGAATAATCATTATTGAGCTTTCTGACCTGGAATAGCTGTGACTTCCATTTATTTAAACAAGTAGTCATTGTAATTGCCTAGAGCTAACATATAAGGAACTGGCCTTCTATGTCTCTAAAATCTCAAAGGGGAAGGCATTACTTTGCAGGTTACTATTTTTATTTCTTTTCACAGAAAGCCATGGCTGAAACTTTTTACCTTTCTAATATTGTGCCTCAGAATTTTGATAATAATGCTGGATATTGGAACAGGTGAGTGGTGAGAGTTTTAAAATGTGATTCTGTGGGCGATGAATGATGTGCCAGGAGAATGTACTAGTGTACTCATTAACTGTTCCTCTTTTTTTATCAAAAGCTAGCACTACTGAAGGTAAGTACTTTGCTGTGTGTTGGGAGTTCAGTTGTCTGTGGGAGTACAGACTTCAAAACAGCCAGGCATATAGATCCTGTTTGCCACCGGCCAGCAGTCAAGTTAAACTGCTCAAAATATTGTACTGAGGAAGAGAGTTTTGAGTATGTCCAGAGGACACCATATTTTTTTCTACTTGTATTTCAAGAGTTGCTGAGCCTTTAAAAAAAATTTTTTTTTGGTACAATTAAACATAACTGTTAACCAGTTTTTTTGATAAAATCTATAACTATAAAATCATCTGGGCTTTTTTGCAAGTTTCTTGACACTTCTAACGAGTTCTATCAAGGATCTCTTTAAGCATCTAAAACTAGCACTGATTGAGATTGTTTCAGGCTATTACATTTTCCTCAAACTACTTTGTGGTTTAAAATAATTAAGAGAGCACCCACACTCAAGATGAACAGTTGTCAGTCATGGCTACACATTTGTTTTGTCTACATGCCCTCTCTTCCCCCACTCATTATTTTAAGCAGGTGATAGCTATGTTATTCTATCTATAAATGTTTTAACATATTTTTAGAAGATAAAAAGTTTTTAAAAATAGAAACAAAGCATGATTATTGCCCCTAAAAAATTAAACAGTAATGCCATATTGCCAGTTTTACAACAGTGTTCCAATTTCTCTGATCGCCCTTAATTTTTTTTTTTTTCTGGTTGATTGGTTTGAATCAGAATTTGAACAAGGACCACACATAGATATGTTTTTTTACTTTTAAAAATCTATAGGTGAGGACGCCTGGGTGGCTCAGTGGTTGAGCATCTGCCTTTGGCTCAGGGCGTGATCCTGGAGTCCTGGGATCGAGTCCTGTGTCAGGCTCCCCGCATGGAACCTGCTTCTCCCTCTGCCTGTGTCTCTGACTCTCTCTGTGTGTCTCTCATGAGTGAATAAATAAATAAAAAAATCTTTAAAAAAAAATCTGTAGGTAGTTTCTCTTCCTGTTTTGTTTTATTTTTTGTTTCTGTTTTTTTTTTTTTTTTTTTTTTTTTTTTTAACCTTGCAGATTATTTGTTGAGGATCTGGGATTTTTGTCTTATGGAGTTTCCTCTTTATTTTGTCTGGTCGCATACCTGTGGAAGCATTTAACATTTTCCTTTCTTGGGACGCCTGGGTGGCTCAGCTTTTGGGCGCCTGCCTTCGGCTCAGGTCATGATCCCGGGATCTGGGATCGAGTCCCGCATTGGGCTCCCTGTGAGGAGCCTGCTTCTCTCTCTGCCTGTGTCTCTGTCTCTCTCTTTTTCAGTCTGTGTCTCAGGAATAAATAAATAAATCTTAAAAAAAAAAAATTTCCTTTCCCAAGGAATATATTTTTGGGAGGATAATTTACCTTATAATTAGGTATATATGCTGTGAGTTACAGTACTGTTGATTTTACTTTTTAGATAAGGAAGTTGAGGGATGATAACATTCATTGTTATCTCTCATAAATCTCTCCCATCTGCAGTATAAGAAAGTACATGTTAAACCTACTTGCCATTTTTATCTAGTAAATTAGCAAAACCATTTTTTTTTAAAGATTTTATTTATTCGTTCATGAGAGACACACACACAGAGAGAGGCAGAGACACAGGCAGAGGAAGAAGCAGGCTCCATGCAGGGAGCCCGATGCGGGACTCGATCCTGGATCCCAGAATCACGCCCTGATCCAAAGGCAGATGCTCAGCCGCTGAGCCACCCATGCATCCCAGCAAAACCATTTTTAAATGATAAATTCCGGTATTGTAAAGATTGCTGTGAAACTGTGGTGTCGTTTTTTGGAGTTTATAGAGTAAATTGGTGCAATACCCTTAAAATATTGCTTTTGCATATAATCAAATGTTATTAAAGTATAATCAGTAAATAATTCTGGCCCTTGAAATTTATCCTAAGGAGTGTTGCATTATATAGGAAATGTTAGTATAAATCCAATTGCCTTACAATAGAAATGGTTAAATAAGATGTATCAACTTGTTGAAGTGGTATGTAACTCTTGAGAAAAGTTTGAGAACTACAGAATTGAGAGATAAGGGAGAAGATGAAACAGAATTTCAGTTCTAAAATGTACATTGAATGCACACATGGGATAATGTAGCTGGTTGTGAGTATGTATAATTTTTAAGTTTTCTTGTGCAGCAAAGAACTGGGAAAATAATTGTTTATATGGTTATAATGTTTTCTGCAATATTATCTTGTTCACATTCATTTGTCAAATTCAGCATTCCCTGTATCTTTTATAGGGATTTGATATGGTTTGCTTCTTTTCTACATTTATGTTTGTGAGAATATCACACCTTTTTTTACTTTGTTTTTCAGAATAGAAATGTACTGTCGAGAACTGACAGAGAGGTTTGAAGATGTCTGGATAGTATCTGGACCATTGACCTTACCTCAGACTGGAAGTGATGGAAAGAAAACAGTTAGTTACCAGGTAGGGACATGTTTTAACATTCAGGATTATGTTGTTTGTATGAGATTATAATTTCATTCTGTATTCTACTTTTTAATTTTATTTATTGAACACCTGTTGTTGGAATAATAGGCAGAGGGGATATACTGATGCATTAAAAAGCAACCACTGACTTAAAGGAGCTCACAGTTGAGAAAGGGAGAAAACAAAACAAAAACAAAAAAAAGGGGGGTGCAGCCCCGGTGGCTCAGCGGTTTAGCACCGCCTTTGGCCCAGGGCCTGATCCTGGACACCCAGGATTGAGTCCCATGTCGGGCTCCCTGCATGAAGCCTGCTTCTCCCTCTGCCTGTGTCTCTGCCTCTCTTTCTCTCTCTTTCTCTCTCTCTCTGTCTCTCATGAATAAATAAATAAAATCTTAAAAAAGTAAAAAAAAAAAATAAAAGGGAGACAGACTTATTATCAGTTAATCACTCTTAAGTGTGATATGCTGTACTAGAGATAAATACATAGATGAAGGGGTATCGCAAGAGGACTGACCAACTCTATTGGTGTGGGTTGGGAAGACTTAACAAGGAAGTTATTTTTGAGCTAGATCTTGACAGATGAGTTAAGACTAAACTGAATCAGAGAACAACCATAGCGTACACTTGAATCTAATGTAATACTGTCAACTATACTGTAATTAAAATTTTTGAAAATGAGGGGCAAAAAGAGTAAACTGAGTCAGGAGGAGAGCATGGGAATTCCAAAAGATGTAGCAGTGTAAGCACAGGATGTTTGTGATTAATAGCATAATGGAATTCAGGTATCATTGATAAAGATTGGAGCTGAGAGTACAAAAAAGTATGGATGCCTCAAAGTAGATGAGGATTTCTATGATAGGTAGGACAGGGGCCAGATAGTAAAGGGCTTTGTAGTCCATGAAGGTTTAGATTTTAATTTTTAGATAGTAAGAAGTCATACATTTTTTTTAAAGCATGGGAGATATTTGATTTGTTTTGGGTTTTATAAAGAGTATTCTGACAGCACCGTGTAGAGAGGTAGAGGTAGGTAAGGAAGGGGTGTTGTGAGAGAAGTGAGAGATGAGGAAATGAATGGGACATTACTGCAGTGGTCCATATGAGAACAGATACAGGGCCAAACTCAAGCAACTGGAGTGAGGATGATAAAGGAATACAGGAAAGCATAACCACAAATTAACTCTTTGGGTGAGGATTTAGATGGCAGTGAGTGAAAAAGTGGGAGGAATGGCTTTTCTTTTACACGCTTGAGTTTTTGTTTTTTTTTAAACAAAGGTTTTGGGGTGCCTGGGTGGTTCAGTTGGTTAAGCGTCTGCCTTTAGCTCAGGTCATCATCTCAGCATCCTGGGAAAATTGAGAATTGCATCTAGAGGGTAGCTGAATTGATACACATTGATGCTGTGAGTTCTGTACAGGGTGGGGAACCAAGTGGAGTGAGGAGGAAGAGGTGATACAGTTAGTAAAGAGGGATTGAAGGACTTCCTGTAGGTCAAAGAGATGTATTCGGAGGGAACACCTAGCTCAGCTCTATATTTAATAAATATTGATTAGGTTGTATGATAACTTAAGAGTCTGTGATAAAACTGAATGACCTGAGAAACAGATTTAGGAAAAAAAACCCCAAAACTTTAGGGTATGTTCTGTCCCACTTGATAAGTAAGTATCCAGGGTGTTCACATAGGTTCTCACAACCTCAGAATATTCCAGGAGTTCTTATGGGAGGGCAAGAATGGCAAAGGAGTCAGAATTTTAAGCAGATTAATTTCTCTTCTCTGATCAATTTGCTAATTTAATTTTAGTATTTTTTGTTACATTAGAAGAAAAAAATTGCTTAAAGCTTCCTATATTTTCTTATTTTTAAAAAATGAGTTATTCTTGATCTTTGTTAAATCCTCTTTACTCTTACCATTGGAAAAGAGGTTCTTCTGACTTTGACTCTTTTTTTTAAAGATTTTATTTATTTATTTGAGAGAGAGAGCGCGCATGTACATGGGCAAGCCTGGATAGGGGCAGAGGGAGAAGGAGAAGCAGACTCCCCACTAAGCAGGGAGCCCGATGCGGGACTCAATCCCAGGACTCTGGGACCATCACCTGAGCCAAAGGCAGATGCTAAACCCAGCTACCCCTGACTTTGACCTTTAAACATTAAGTGATCAAGTTTTTTTTTTTTTTTTTTAAAGATTTTATTTATTTATTCATGAGAGAAACAGAGAAAGAGAGAGGCAGAAACACAGGCAGAGGGAGAAGCAGGCTCCATGCTGGGAGCCCGACATGGGACTTGATCCCAGGACTCCAGGATCATGCCCTGGGCTGAAGGCAGGCACTAAACTGCTGAGCCACCCGGCTGCCTGATCAAGTTTGTTTTATGTGTGCTTTGCTTTCATAAAATTGAAAGCTTACTGTGTAGTAGAAAGTATATTGTTTTTCTTAAATTGGATATAATTTTTTTTTTAAATTCTTTTTTATTATTATTTATTTATGATAGTCAGAGAGAGAGAGAGAGAGAGAGAGGCAGAGACACAGGCAGAGGGAGAAGCTGGCTCCATGCACCAGGAGCCTGACGTGGGATTCGATCCCGGGTCTCCAGGATCGCGCCCTGGGCCAAAGGCAGGAGCCAAACCGCTGCGCCACCCAGGGATCCCCAATTGGATATAATTTTTAAAAAAAGAACTTACACAAAATATTATGTATCTGCCAGTTCTTTCTGCTCAGTTGGCCTAGAAGCAGTGATATGCAGTTTAGCAGTGAGCAATACCTTAAGACCAGATCTTGTTTCTAAAAAAAGCAACTCCTACTAGAAGAACTGGGCATGTGAGGAAGTGCCTGATTCCAGGGATGGTACAGGGAAAGTACAAAATGGAACATCTTGTGCCAGAAAGCAAGAAGTGCTCAAATGGTGGGGACATGTCAAAAGGACATAGACATCAACTTGCAGGAGTTCCACCTTATTGTGTCTGGAGCTATTTGGTATCAAAATATAATTGACTATAGACCTATTGAGTTGAATACGAATCCTTCTTTTTTTTTTTTAATCCTTTTTTTTTTTAAAGATTTTATTTATTTATTCATGAGAGACAGAGTGAGAAGCAGGCTCCCTCCCAGCAGGGAGCCTGATGTGGGACTCGATCCCAGGTCTCCAGGATCAGGCCCTGGGCTGAAGGCGGCGCCAAACCGCTGAGCCACCCGGGCTGCCGCGAATCCTTACTTCTAATTCATAAATAAATACATGAGTGTAAGGAAAAACTTCTGCTTACTGTGTAGAATGTCAACTAATACATTTATAAGAATGAAAGAGTTAGAAAAAATCATTTTGGGACACCTGGGTGGCTAAGTGGTTGAGCGTCTGCCTTTGGCTCAGGGCATGATCCCAGGGCCCGGGATCAAGTCCCACATCAGGCTCATTGTGGGGAGCCTGCTTCTCCTTTTCTGCCTATGTCTCTGCCTCTCTCTGTGTCTCTCATGAATAAATAAATAAAACCTTAAAAAAATCATTTTGCAATCATCATGGCAATAAGGGATTCAGACAAGAATCATCAGTGGATGCTAAAACTAGTGATGCAAGTTTTATGGGAAAGAGGAAGTTTATATAGTTAAAAGTCTTCCCACAGATTACTTATTTTTTTTTTAAAGATTTATTTATTATTTATGATAGACATAGAGAGAGAGAGGCAGAGACACAGGAGGAGGGAGAAGCAGGCTCCATGCTGGGAGCCTGATGCGGGACTCGATCCTGAGACTCCAGGATCGCGCCCTGGGCCAAAGGCAGGTGCTAAACCGGTGAGCCACCCAGGGATCCCCCACAGATTACTTATTAATAACAAAGCAAGAAATGGTAACTGTACAGTGGAGAAACTGTTGTTAACCAAGTGATCAAGATTAATACTGTTAGTAATGGCATTACTGATAAGCTGTACTTCCTGGTGGGATGCCCTGAGAAGAATACAGGATCACTTCTGTGATATTTCTGCCAAAAAGCATAACATTGAATCTCACCATGCAGAAATACCAGGCAAACCCCACTGAGGGTCATTCTGTGAAACAGCGGCCTTGTACTCTTCCAAAATGTTAGCATCATAAAAGACAAAGGCTGAGAAACTACCTTGGATAAATGGAGACTAAAGAGTCCTGAAAACAAAATTCATTGTGTGATCTGAGGTCAGATCCTAGATCAGAATAGAAACGTGATGAAAGAGGACATTATTGGACAGTTGGCAACATTTGAGATACGTAGATTAGATTACTGTATGTTATCAGTCTGTTAAGTTTATTGATTTTGATAATCATACTGTTGATTATATAAGTGAATGTCTTTTAGGAAATACATCCTAGAGGATGTGTCTATGACTTATTTTCGAAGGGTTTATGGAAAAGAAAAATAGAGGAAAAGAGAATAATAAAGCGTATTGGGCCAAGTGGTAACAGTTCGTGAAGCTGTGAAGGGCACACAGGTGTTCTTTGTACTAATCTTATAAATTCTATATTTGAAATTAATTGAGAATGAAACATATATATGTATATATATTTTGATGTATCTTTTCTATACAACAATCCTGCACTACACTAGAGTATATAAAACCACCCACTAAAGACTTACCTTGCTTCTCCTAAATAGTTCATCAGTAACTGCTATTCAAGTCTTAAAGAGAGTTTTAAAAGAGACTTGTCAGCTCTCCTCACCTGAATTAGTGCCATGGTGATAAAATGTGTGAGAGCAGTTAAGATCAGCTTCCTGAAGAGTAGACTTTGAGTAATAATCTTGTTTTTGGTTTTTACATGAAAGCCTTACTGGTCTTTGGTCTTTATTTTCAAGTTCTGTGCTCTGAACCTGTACTGTTAGTTTCCCATGTCCATATTAACTCACAGGACCTATTCATGCTCATTAGTAAATCTTTAATCCACCAAATCTTCCAAGTATCTGTCATGTGGGAGGAGGAATGTATGCAGAATTATAAATGACATGCCTTAACCTATACTCTTGACTACTTTCTCCTTTCTTTCCT